TCGATGTATCAGTTCCTCAAAGAATAAGAAAGAAAGCGGTAACTCACGTGTATAAGTAGAAACAGCGTCGTCAAAGCAGTCCTGCCAGTAAAATCGTCAATAAACCCAATCCATCTTGAACCGAGACTTTCAGAATCAGATGTACAGAGTTGGCACTGAGTAGACCAAAGCAGCTTGCGTAACACAGATATTCTTCAATTGATGATCCCATTCCGATATGGAGCCGATGAAATGAGATGGTTTGCGAAAGAACAGCAGAGAATAGGAAAGACACGACACAATCCAAGAGACGCAAAAGGTATGCCAGGTCGAGCATCGTTTAACGTGAGGAGAAAGGAGAGCAGTTGCGAAAATGAGAGTCATCCCAGCTGCGCCCAAGAGCTCGAGGACAACAAAAGCATAGATATTCGAATGGGGCACTGGTTCCAGTAAGCTTGGCATCGTGAGGGATGGTGGAGAGACCCGAACAAGGAGCAAAGCCGGCGATGCTTTCCCTTAGGCAGGCACCTGAGGTATTCCCACGCGTAGGCAGGCTTCCTAATCGACTCGATCAAACGTCTAGCATTCGACTCTAGTCTTTTGCCACCGTCACCGTCCACGGTAGAACGATTCTGTGAGCGCGTCCAATCGGATATCATCCAAGGTATCTGTGCATTCGGCCGCGACCCCAACGCTAGCCTTGAAAATTCACTTTCATCTATCCATTGAGGTACTAGCCGCAAGTCGGGTTGCAGCCTCCACAGTGATAAGGGTGTTGGCACTGGAACAGCTTTGGGTCTCATGCATCTGCAGTCCAGAATACCATTCGGGTCCCGTTATTCTGGAGGCGGTATCACTGATACTTATCGAGTCGCCTGGATTGTTCATTGTCCGGGTGTTCTCTGGAAATCAAGGTTACAATCTCAACCCAGCCTGACTCCTCCATCTGACCTCCTCAACACTCATGAGCTCGGGATACCTGAGCTTCGACGGCCTAACATTGAAAGGGCAGATTATATGATTCTTCAATCGACATTGATCAAATCGGTGTTGAACTGGACCGTAAGCTCGTTGTAATTCGTTCGGATTAGAAGTATCAGTCTCAGGTGGCGTAAAATTGGGAAGCGTATTGGAGCTTCGCGTTGCGAGCGTTCGAGGCTCTCACCCGAAGACCTGCTCAGGCTGCGTCGGACCACTGAGGATTCGTGCATCATGACCTGCATAAGGTCAGTACTTATGGTTGCGCTCTGAATATCAGCGTACTCATGCCATCTACTAGAGATTATCTAGGTTTCGATGCAGTTGAATTTGGCGTATTTGGAAGACCTCCAAGTCCCAAGCCTCCTCAGACTCACTGACGGCCTCTTAGTCTCTGATATGTTTATCCTTTCGCATGGTGAGATGGCCGAGTGGTCTAAGGCGCTAGATTTAGGTATTCTCGTACCGTATCTCTAGTCATTCGTGGCGTGGGTTCGAATCCCACTCTCATCATTTTGTTGGAAAACAATATGGAAACCTTCCCGAGGAATGATCTGACGATCCAAACTTTGAGGTGGAAGCTTGAGGAGGGGTGGGGCGCGTGCGCCGCGGGATTATTGTCACGTGAGTTGCAGACGCGACGCGTACGCGTGCGTGACTAAGCTTTTCTGTTGACTGACTGTCACTGTGTCAGTGTCACCGTGATCCCTTATTGTTCCTAACCACCATGTTCCACTCAAGCCCTGTCTGCATCTCACCTGTTACTCCTCATATAAACCGTACAATATCAAGCTGTTCATACAGTCATCACGATATCCACAACTACACACCGCTAAATTCCTCACCTCTTGCTGGCGGTTCAAGTCCGCCTGGTCCCCCTTCCTCACCTATACGACAGATACAGGAGCGTAGACGGTCACAGCACAAGTCAAGAACGAGGTCCAGTCACAGCTATGGGCAACAGTCGTCGCCGTGCACGTCAATGTCCATGTCAATGTCAACCGAGACTGGCTCGATCCTACGAGAAAAGTTCCGAACTTCCTGTTTGGAGCGCGCAAAAGACGCGAGGAGGAAGACAGTCAAGAACAAAAGAAGAATGGAACCAATGTGTAGTAGTGAAGGCTTCGACATGGACGAATTTATGGACGTAGATGACGAGAACGCGAGTGAGGCTGAAGACGACTTTGACGACGAGGTGAGTCATTTCTCACCCGGTCCTCATAGGCTTGACATATCCCTTTTCTTCACTTAGGTTCTCAGGCGTGTCATGCTGAATGATAATCGAAAACTTAAGCACAAATATCGACTGTCTTACTATGCCACATGCGGAGACTCGTTCGATCCCGATATTGAAGACGTCGAACAATGGGAAAACGAGTTACAAGGTAATTGACTGGAAACTGCCGTTTCGCCTGTTAATCTCCATCACAGAACTCGAGCCACCACTCTCCGAACCTCCCTCGTCGCAGATCGATCAACTCACTCCCGAAGACCTTGAAGATGCGGAGCTAGAAGCGTACGTAGATGACTGGGAACGACAGAAGGCGCTTGCGGACTTTGTGGATATCCCTGCCGAAGAATTATTCAACTGGGACGAGGACGATCTGAACGTTGACAGACGACAGAGCCCCAGTAGAGACATGGAGCTATGATCCGACCTCTTGCCCCGTGAAATCGTGTTTCAGTAGACCCCTCGAGTCTATCTTGTATTGGTACGGGCCTACCCTTGCTTGCATCTTGGTTTTGCTTCGATCACTTGATTATCTTAGGTATCACGATTTAGTAGTGCGTGTATCATATAGGACGAACGCTAGAAGAAGTGCAGACGTTCCAGCAAGTCGATTCAACATGAGCCTATGAGCAAAATCTGGACAGACATTCGCACCTTGCTTATCTCGATATGTCCAGAGTCCACACGCCATTCACGCGTGTCACTGTCTCGACTAGCGGTAATGTTGACCGGTTCCCCCACTTGGGAGGCTGGTCCTAGAGCAACAGTGGTGAATATTCTACAAAGTACGTCCGACCTGCAGCCACACCACATCCTTCTGGGTTTGTATTCTGCAAAATTCTGGGCCTCAGCTGAGAGACGCCCATCTCCGCCCGCCATTCAATTGGAACACTAGTTGAAACCTTTGCCCTTGCGCCCATCAGAAGCTTTTTCAGTGTTCGATTGTCTAATTCATTGAAGGCGCCTTGGCGTCAACTGCACGGTATATAAGGGTATATATAAAGACGAGCGTCCGACAGCTTTGCCCGTGCCGCGTCATAGCGCTCTCTCCTCGTTCCCACTGTTTCTTCCGTCTATGTCATGCTCTATGCCCCTTTTGCTATAAGAAGCCCTCTAATCCCCCCTTAACTCATACAGCTGTGCAAACCAGAAAACACGGGACCGATCAAGATAGGCAACTTTCAAAACCAAACTTCCCACCGTACTGCAAGATGCCTCCCTCACTCTTTCATGGCGGCCGCCGACGACCAGGACGTTTCGTTCTCCTCCTTGGACTATTCTTCATCGGAGTACTCGTCGCAGAACTGCTGGGTGACTACTCACAATCCAATATCAAGCAAGTCCTCTTGAAGCAGATAAAGGCCTACCGAAGCGGCGGTAACAACGCCAATGACCCCGATGGTCGGTGTCGCGTCGACAACCAGACCCCAGGAATGGGACACACGTGCGATATTGAAGACGACGACTCAACGGGCAAGGACCGCCCAGGCCAACCTGCGGCGCAAGAATCGAATGGAGGACTCGGAAGTGTCCTAAACCCCACTACGATACCCGGCGGCGCTGCGACCCACGGCTTTACGGTATTCGACGAGCTTTATCTCCGGGATGGGACGCTTTACGTGGTCACCAAAGACCGGAAATCATTTCCAAGATTGCCTGAGATACTTGCAAAACCGCTCAAGATGGAGCCAGGCGTATCATTGGTACCCACAAGCGACGTGAGTGCCCTATTAGCAACCTGAAAACCCTGTCAACTCATTAGCTTTCAGGAGATGCAGTTTATCAAGCCAGAACGTGCAAGAGGGAGGTTTGGCGACCATATCCACCGTTTTGATGGCTTTACTATTCTGGTGTACGACCCTTCACAATTCATGCATGTCAGCCCTTGATACTTGCAAGCAGCAACAAGATAACTGACGGTATTTCTCCTAGCATTATTATCATTGGTGGGGCGAGATCGTATTAGGGTTATGGCGCGTCTATTCCAAACTGGGTGTGCGTGAAGGGGACACCGTCACCCCGCTACCTTTTCCCAAACGCTTCTTGGCACCCGTGAGTATTGGACGTCTCACAAGGGTATCTTCCTACGCTGACACGAAGTCCAGTTCGTTGAAGAAACCGGATGGCGCGATCGCGCTTCTATGAACGGACCACTTATGCGTGCCACCTTCCCGGGAGTCGCAGTAGAGACGGGACACTACTGGCAGGACCTAATTGAATTGGACATGACCTACGTGTTTAGCAGGGTGTTAGTAGTCAATAGAGAAGCTGCTCACAAACAGTGCGTCTCCCTCCTACTTTCCCCAAGTTCTGCAAGTTGCTTATCCAGTCCACTTCCCAGCCCCTTCAGTAGTCAATGGTTCAAGATGATAGCGGGCACCATGAACGTCACTGCGCCAGAAGGTTTCTGGGATCCCATTCGACATTCATTGCTCACGAATCTACTGGGTTATGAACCCCAGTTTAGCGGACCAGGAATTGTCGTCTCGCCTCCGAAAGCAGCATCCTCCGCCCCCGTAGTGACTTATATCTCGAGGCAAAGAACTGGGAGAAGGCTTAAACAGGAGGACCATGAAGCGCTCATTGAGGAATTGATGACTTTGGGGGGCCAAGGATTCTGCGAAGTCAACGTCGTGCAGATGGAGGATATGTCATTGAAAGACCAGATCGAACTCGCAGCAAGGACCACGGTGTGTCTTCTCGAAACCTATCATGGCGAGGAGCTTTTACTCATTGCAAACCTACGCGATCAGATCATGATCGGGGTACACGGAAATGGTCTGACGGTGAGTCGGCGAGAGCCTTCCTGGCGGCGGTAACCACTTATAACTCTGGATGCACGGTATTCACAGCACCAACTATGGATGAGACCCTCCGCGACATCGACTGTTGTTGAATTGCTGGTACCTGGGGGTGCGTCCTGAGCCTTAGGATCCCCTCATTGCCATCCGTTGACACGTCCACTTTCATAAGGTTATACCTATGACTTCGAGCTACTAGCACGAAATATGGGGCACAAGGTGTGTTGCCACATTGTCCTGCTGACCTCTACCGGCACGTCTTCTAACGAACACTCATCAGCACTATGCGGTTTGGAACGATACCTGTGTGACCTACCCGAAAGGGACTACACACAAAGGTATCAAATATCCGCCAGGGTTTCATGGGAGCCAAATACCGGTGTGGCCAGAAACCGTGGCGAACATCATTCGACAGCGGTTATCGGGAGCTGAGGTTAGTGCCCGTGCGCCTTTTTTGCTTCACGAAGGGGTCGGCTGATTGCGTGAAAGTGAGAATAGGACCTCTATACTCCGTAGCTGGAGGGTTGCATCCGTATCCAAGGTCGATCTAAATAGAGCTCGCCGGGCTGGGCGCGGGTTGCGATTTGGCTTTACTCGTCGGGTTTCAGTTACATTGTGCCACTTCTAGCACGGCTGATTGGTTGCCTAGTGGTTAGTGTCGATCTGGCCCTAATGAAAATTCCCGCTGTCGCTTGCCTTCAGAGAGCTGCCCGACTTCTTGGTACTTCGAACGTTCGAGGGACGTCCATCTGGTTCGTCGTGTGGAGAAGAGTCGGCCATGTCCGCTCCGAGTTAAGATGGCTACTGCTCCAAGTTAGTTCGCGGAGGCATCGCGACTCAATCGCAAATGGGGCTTGAGATCCCGTAGGCGGCCTCGGATCGGGATACTTGGCATACCACAACATTTCGACTGTCAGCGCCTCCACATCCCCGCAAGGTCGGGACCGGGACGCTAGAATCGACATGTTCTCATCGGGGAACAGTGGCTGGCCGCCGCCATATTCACCCGTTCCGATCGTGCTTGAACAACTGACCTCAACCTGAATAAGTACCAGGGTAATCGGGGGTCCTGGGGATAGGGGGGTTGCTGCAGCTGCGGCGGAGTAGCAGGCAAGTACGACCGTCCGGTAATGAAGCCATTCGGTGTAGCGGAAAGGTGAGTCCGTGCATTAGATAGTCCTTCGGAGCCGGGTAGAGTGGTCGAAGCTGTTCGAGAGGGGAGGGACGCAGCGGACGGGCCGCTGGGCAAGACCTGGCCGAGATCGATGTATGAACGGAACCTCGACGTCGATCGCATTGAATGCGAAAGGGGCGGGAGAATCTGGAGTATTTTAGCCCTACTGAGTTATGAGCTCGAGTACTGCGGCTCTAAAGCAATTTCGGCTTTGATTTGACTGCTTCCAGGAGAGATTGAAGGACAACTCTCCACAAGTCGCTTACCCAGCGGTTGGATTTGGGTCTCAGGACGACCTACAACGATG